TGCTACTCAATGAGTAAAAGTCAAAAGCCACATTATCAGCATTTTCTGCAAGATGATTTCAAACCCATCTTTCACGTTTGGCATAGACCGACACCAAATCTGACATTTCCAAGAACTTCAAGAGACATGCTTCAATTCTCAATTTTTATTAAAAGGCTTCTGTAAGCTCAACTTCTTGCCTTTGGAAACAGTTGAAGAAAGGCAATGGGTATTTGCTAAAACAAAGGGATTGTTTAGAAGAAAGTGTTTCCAGTGCGTAGGCTGTTCTTGAGCTTCTAAAACAAAGTCATACAAGGTTAAACCCACAGAGCACTATCAGCCCGGTACCCACGTCATTCAGGCACTGTGCTGATAATGTCTTTGGAAATCTTTGGCAAAATGCTTTTCCCCTTTAGTTTCCCATCTGCAGGGCTAGAAAGGAAGAGTCAGCTGAAGCAGTGAGAGATCCAGCTTCTCCAACCACAGCAGCATCATTGGTGTTGCTCTACCTCCTCGATCCCCTGTAGATGAGAATTTGGGTTTCTTGAGAGAGCCCATGTCATGGGGATGGACGCAAGGACAGATGTGGAGGTAGGCCAGCTGCTAACTCAGGCCATTAGTCATAGCAAGCTCTTCCCAGACCTCTGAACCATTTAATCCAGTGAGAATCATCATCTTGGCTGGAACATGTCCATGTTAAGGACACGGGTCTTATTTTAACACCAGCCTCCCAAGCTACTACTATTTTTAAGTTTGGGCTGCTATTTAAGGCACGTATTATGACCAGAAAGAGCACAGGGCATAGACACCAGCTCCACTAGCTCATGGGAAAAATGAGGACAAGTGAAACACCCCATGACAACAAGCACCGCTAAACTATTTAAGCAATTCAGTATATCAAGTGCCATCAGGAACTGGGCAAGAGTTTGAGCCACCGCTTCCACTCTAAAATCCTTCTCTTTTGGGAAGGAGCCCAGCCACAGCAAGGCATCTTTGCTCCAGCACTGAGCAGTGCTGGTGCCACCATGACCACACTTCACCTAGAACTGATGGGCTTAAAGAAATCAGTTATAAAAATCATAGAATCATAAAGTGGTTTGGGTTGGAAGGGTCCTCAAAGATCATCTCGTTCTAACAATGCTGCCATGGGCAGGAGTATCTTCCACTAGATCAAGTTGCTTAAAGCCTCATCCAACCTGGCCTTGAACACTTCCAAGGATGGGGCAGACAATTCCTCTGGGCAACCTGTTCCAGAACCTCACCACCCTCAGAGGGAAGAATTTCTTCCTTATATCTACTCTAAATCTCCCCTCTTTCAGTTTAAAGCCATTGCCCCTTGTCCTATCACTACATGCCCTGCTAAAAAGTCCCTCTCCAGCTTTCCTGTAGGCCCCCTTTAAGTACTGGAAGGCTGCTATAAGATCTTCTCAGAGCCTTCTCTTCTCCAGGCTGAACAATCCCTACTATCTCAGCCTGTCTTCATAGCAGAGGTGCTCCAGCCCTCGGACCATCTCCGTGGCCCTCCTCTGGACTCGCTCCAGCAGCTCCATGTCCTCCTTGTGTTGGGGACCCCAGGGCTGGATGCAGTATTGCAGGTGGGGTCTCATGAGAGCAGAGGGGCAGAATCACTTCCCATGGTTCCTGTATGTTCCCCATCCTGTGCTTTGCTTTCCTACAGTGAATTTGAGTGAAATCTATGGTAAGTCAACGTGAAAGCATCCATTATAGCTATGGGGGCTTTTCTTTTGGAGGGAGTTGGGGGGAATACAGGTCCTGAGCCAACCCCACCTCTGGAAACTAATCAATAAAAAAATCCTCCAAACCAGCAAAATCTTGATGCCAGCTGTGCTCCTGCCTGGCAGGCACACAGGGTGGGGCGCGAGGGCAGCCACCTGGGCACAGCTCTTCTCAGCAGCGACTGCGGCACCAACGTCAGACCCAGTCTTCCCTTTCAAAGGTTAAAGCTGTTTACAGAAAGGATTAGGAGGGAGGAGATGGTAAACTAGGAAGAAGCGGGGGAGACCGGGCGTGACAGCTACGTACGCAGGCTTCGCCCCAGCAATAAACACGCCCCAACTCCTTGTTGGTGCAGCCGGCCAACGTATAGGTGGGGAGGTCATATGGATGTCGGCACACTCTACTAGCCCCAGAACCTGGGGCTTCACTCCTAGCCCCTGAAGATGATTTAAACGTAACTGCTTGCCCTGCACATCCCTAGTGCAACCACAAACCAGGCTGGCACTGGAAGATCTGGGGAGCAGCTGTGGTCCTCACATCTACAGAGGTTTTGCTCTGGCTGCCTATCATGGAGGGATCTGCACCTAGCAGTACAGGAAGGGAAAGATTTCCTCTCTGCCACAGCCTGAAGTTTGTTCCTGGCTATTTTCACCCTTGTCTGAAATGCTGCTGCAGGATGAAGCACAATTTGGGTACAAACACTGCTGGAGCAGCAGAAAGCTAAGCCATGGTGCTGCAGCTCTGCAGTACATCTTAGCTGTATGGCCAGTCATTAAATAAACTACATCTTCTCTTGCTTCAAGTAAACAGTCTTAAGAGCCAGACATTTCAACAGGAAAACCAAAGACAGATTTATACACCACTGCGGAGAAGAATAATTTCCATATCTGACACGACAGAGCACCACCACCGAGTAAGAACTAACGTGCGAGGCCCTTCCAGCAAATGCAACTTGATCAAGGCAATATCAGAGCCGTGCTAAAAGCGAGACAAAGCACTAATTGGTTTGCACTCATCTGCCTGCCTTCGTGGCACAAAGTTCAACTGAGGACACTGCGCGGCAGGAGAAAGTCATGGAGCCACCCGTGCCAATGCGGAACCAGCAGGACTGTTGCAAGAACGACTGGGAGAGATGTGCAAAACTGCCCAGCCAGGAGCTGGGAATAACAGGGCAACTCACCTCCAGACCAGAGCAGCTTGATCAGATACTGGGCCAGTTTATCAGCTGAGCGTGGTTTTTGCTGATACATCCAGCTTATTTCCCAAACAAGGGGAAAAATTAGGAAATACCTTGCTAATTTGATGCACTAGCTAAATTCAGCAGTTCAATGATGACAGAGAAGACTGGAAAAACTCATCTTAGGAAGCACAGGATGACCCATGAATGATGCTGTCCCCCAAAGGATGACAAGATCTGGGAGGTGGGGTTATAGCTAAATGGGCTAACAGAGCCTCGGTGCTCACCACATATCACCTTCTCTCACCTGCACAGCTTCTTTAACCTGAATCATGCTTGGTGACCAAACACACAGCATTGCCAATAAAGGCAGCTCTAGTGTGGTCTCCAGAAGGGCCAGCTGCAGGGTAGGTATTTCGGCATGGGGTCTGAAACACCAGGTTGGAAAACAGCTGAGCACCCACCCAGAGCAATTCAGTCTGGTCCCCACACTCCATCACACCCCACCCTGTTCAAATCCAGTCCCTGCTCTGAGATAACAACACTCGCTGCACCAAAAAAATAGGAAAGTGAGAAATTCAACCAACTGGTAATTAAAGTCACAGAGAAAGAGTTACTGTAAGTCAGTACAACCAGTCGCTTTCAGCCAACAAACCATGGCCAGAGTCACGTAGTATTTCTAGCAGTGACCACAAATAAGGATGTTTAATAAGGTTCTGCAGATCAGAACCGTCACCATTGCAGATCACTCACCATCACCATGAGGACCACGCTTTGGGTACCACAGATTTTAGGGACAACAGAGTGCCAAAGATTACTGGAAAAAGTTATCACAAAGGGAAAAAAACTCAAGAAACCGCACCACAAGAATTCCAAACAGTTAAAAGGAAACTGGTAAGTAGCACAAACACAAGAGAAGGCACAAAGCTAATTCTAACAAGACCTTACTGGTTCTATAAATGCATTAAGGAAGGCAAACAAAGTGTAGATCTACTAATCAGCAGGAAGGAGAAGAGAGTACATGACAGAAGACGCCCTACTCAAAGCCGCCTTTGCTTTGTACTTAAGCACTCAAGGATGACTTTCATCAAGCACTGATCTCTCTTAAACCTTCCAATCTTTCTTCAATCCCTTCTTTGTTTGCCCGCTCCCCTCCCCCTTGTTAAATGTGCTTTTCTAAAGGTTAACGGTGAACAGATGCTTAAGGTTGAGCAACCTCAACCCAAAGGTAAGGATTCATCAGTGCTGCCTGTCTGCAGCAGGATAAGGGGGGTCAAAATTGCCACCGTAGCTTTGCAGAGGTAGAACCATGCATCGTACTAAGGAGATCATGGCTGCTTGGTGCTCACGTTCATGCCACTATTAATTTATCATTGATTTTTACAAACTTCAATTTAATGACCACAACAGGTCATCTCTAAAGTCTCATCAAAAAGCAAACCAACCACCAAAAGAACAGAAAATACTACGAAGCAGAGCCTCCAGGAAGACTTCACAACATTCAGGGAGCTGTACGCCTCCACAACACATACTTTAAGGTCAACCTTCCTGGCTCCAGCGTGGGCAAAGGGCTGGGGACACAAGCCAGCAGTCAGGATTTAGCCCTAAGAACCTGAAACTGAGGCGCTGCCAAGAGGCAGGGGATGACTCAGCCTTCCAGCAACAGATGGGGTGAGGGAAAAAGGATGACACAAAAGACAATCAGACCCATGTCTGAGTCACCAAGAAAACAAGGAGAGCACGAAACAGAAGAAAAGTGGAAAGTGGAGGGGTAAAGGAGGAAAAAAAAAAATAAGAAAAAGGACCCTTAATTCAAGATCCTCTTCTCCTTCCCACCATCCTTGGTAGAAGGAGCTGGGGTGAGCAAGTGACATTCCTTCCATAAACTCTTCCTTCAGGAGCAGAGACACATCATAGGAATAGGGATTGGGAGAAGCCAAGGATGAAGAAACATCTAAAGAGCCAGTATATGGGCTTTGCCTTTTCCTACAAGAACCAGCAAGTCAGAAAAGCATCTGCCACTGGACATGGAGGCGGCCCTGCCAAAGCACCACGCGGGACAGCACGGAGGACACTATCCCCTACAGACCCCATCACTACTGCTCACCATGCCCGTTGCAGTAATAGATCCACTTCTCCCTGTTCTGCGTGGGGGTGGTGGACTTTTTCATAATAGCTTTTTCCACAATGGCACTGGGATCTTGCCTGGGTCCCTTCTTCAGAGTCCGTGAGCTCTTCCTGACGCTGCAGACGACAATAACCACCAAGACCAGCAGCAGGAAGAGGACAATCATCCATGGCAAGTGTTCGTTGATGTCAAAGTGCTGGTGGTTGTTCTGTGGACCTCGCCGGGGGGGCCTGTATGGGACGCTGGACTTCTCACCCCCTGCCATCTCCAGCGATGGCTGCTTCTCCAGTGCTTGGCTGGCCTGCTTGTGCCGGTAGCTCTGTGCCTGGCCAGCGGCACCAGAGCCTGCAAGGGTCCCACCAGTGTCGTCCGTCTCGTTGGCCGAGGTTTCGTTGTAGTAGCCCGCTGGCTCTGCCGTGCCGCTGGATGCGTGCAGCGCAGGAGAAGGGACAAAATCAGGAACTGAAGAGTTCAAACCTGTGAAAGGAGAGAAGAGTTCAGTGTCATGGCACCGGAGACGCAATACGGCATCATGTCACAGTCTAAGACCTGCCTGAGCATCTGCTTGGCCAGCAGACAGAAACCCAACGCCAGGCAGGAAGAAAGGGAAGAGGTGAAGTCGAGGTTTGGCTCTAGGAACAGATGGGTATGGTTACACAGGTAGGTTCAAGATAAAATTGACCCTTGTTGGTTAAGGCTAGTGGCAGTTTGTTTGAAAAAAAAAAAACACCACCAAGAGATTAAAGGCATGTTGTCAATCTGTTTGTCCCACATTCAGCACTTCTCAGAAAACCTACAAGCCTGAGGTTTCTTAGGTTTATGAACACGGGTTTCATTCCAAATGTGGAAAGTGTGGTATTTGGGCTAGAAACACATGAAAATTTGGAGGTTTAGTATCTCTCTACCAGGGTTTGTTAAGGAAGCATAAACTTTATCAGCACCACAAGCAGCTGTGGGTACATCAAATACAAAACAGGTTTCTGAAGCAACAGAAGCAACCAAACTTCCCCCTAAGAGCTACTTTCCATGTTTATTGAGGTTTCTTATCAACCAACAGCTCTCAGGTCTCAGTCAGCTGCATGACCAAAGTCTGGTGAGAAGAAGAAGGGCTGTTGTGGCAAAAACTAGAGCTCACTTTGGAAGCTCAGCTTTTGAACATCATAACTCATCCCAGTTGAGCCAGAGAGTGGGTGTAACCATCTGTGACCTGATTTTGCCTCTGAGTTGGTTACCCAAAACACTCCGATCAGGATACAAACAGGGAAAAAGCTTTAACTTTTTCCTGTTTGTCTACAGTTGATTTCAAAGTTCAGGGAACACCCTCCTGTGCTCTCCCCATGACGCACCGACACCCTGTCAAGCTTTGAGACCTAATAAAGGAGAAGCACTGCAAGTCTACCACTGTCAAAACTTCCGTCCTATTGTATTTACCAACTTAATCTTCAGGCCACCTAAAATTGCATTTTTTAATCAAAATGCCCCATCTGAGAGACTGTAAGGAAGCTGCTTCCCAGTGAGTGTTGAGTGTCACCTCAAATGGGGTCCTACAGCACCACTGCAACCAGCCACAGCTAACGCATCTCAGTAAAAACCGTGATGATGTACCATTTCCAATTAAACAAGAGAACGAGGAATTCAACCTGGCTCTCCCCACCAGTGGTAACTAATGAAAATCTTGGAGACTGAAGAAAAAAGAGTTATGGGGCAGCCTAGGCTCCTGGAGGGCTGTTTTGGCAATGGTTCCCATTCAAGCCGAGACGCTGGCACAGTACAGGGCAAAATGTAGCAAGGAAAGCACAGGCGTGAAAGCAGTGAATCCATCAGGGAAGGAGTCCAGTGGAGCGAAGCCACTCTCTCCTCTGGGTTTTCCTGTTGCATCCCAACTCAGGTTTGCCACAAATGCCCGAGGATTTGCGCCAGCACAACACACAGATGGGAAAAGAGGCTGGGGAACATCATGTCCTTTCAGTCTCAACAGCAGGACAGCCAGAAGTCCAATCGCGACTACGGTCTCAGTGAAAGCATTACTAAATGCTGTTTAACACAAGTGAGGGCAACCTGATGCATTCTGGAGCTGCCTGCTGGCCAAGAAGCAAAAGCACCATCCACGCTTTAGACCAGGTTGCCCTTTAACAGCCTAAAACCAACACCGACTAAGGCAGGAACGCAATACCACAACCAAAACCACATCTGTGTTTCAGTGGTAGACGTTACCTTTGGGAAGATGAGCAGTCGGTGGAACTTCATAGGGCTCTTCACTTGCTTCGGTGCTCGATGAAGTCCAAGACGTGTTCGGAAGAGACGCTGGAGAACCACAGACGTTGTCACTCTCCTTTGTCCCTGGCTTGATGACCACCATGTTTTTCCCAAAGCAGTCAGTGTATGTTTTGCACTTCATCACACTAGAAGGCACATCAGAAAAGGTACCACGAGGGCACGGTTTGCACCTAACATCTTCCGTCTCGGTTCCTTTCTTGCGGACGCCCCAGCCAACCGGGCACACTGTGTAAGGGACGCAGGTATCGTTTGTCTGAAACGTACCGGACAGGCAAGTGCACTCGCGGTCAGTCAAGGCAGTACAATGAGTTTTCTCAATCATTGGCAGTTCACAGGGTTTTCTGCAAGGGTGGCACCGCTCTATGCCATTCTCATGCTTAGTAAAGGTCCCATCTGGGCAAGGGCTGCACTCTCTTAAGGTACTCTTCGTGCAATGTTTAGACACGTAGGTTCCTGCAGGACATTTGTCGCAGATCAGCTCTTTGTTGGTGGCACGGTCGAAGTGGCGGTACTTGCCAGGGGAGAGGCTGATGGCATTCTGCTCGGAGGTGAGCTTCAACTGACCTTCAGCAGTGCCAAGGAGCATGAGCAGCTGGAAGACAGATGGGATGTATTAGTCAACAACAGCGCGCGACTAGAGCCCTCTCTGCCCGTGATCCCTTGCGAGATCACAAAGCACATCCCAGAGTCGCAGGACCATGGAGATGTCTCTCCACCCAGAGGAGGGACCTCAGCGAGGTCCAGGTGGAAGAGAACCGTTGCAGACAGCAGCGCACTCTCTGGACACATCGCCAGCTACGATTATAATCCCCTAAATTTGACACCACGCTTCTCAGCAAGGCTAAGCATCATTTACACTGCAACCCTGCCAGGGTGGTAAAATACTGCTAATGGTGCTTCAGCACCTCGACATCCCAGGAGAATTCAGACCAGCTTTGCATTTCAAGTCTGAGAGGCTCCAGCATGAGCCAAGCACTTGCCGAGAAGACAAAAAAAAACCAAACAAACATGCAGGTGGCAGCTCTGACCTGTAAAACTTTCCTCTTCTGTATTTATTAGTCTGCACCTGTTCAAATAGTTACCTTTCTAAATAACATAAACCAGGATGAAATCCGGGTTAGCTGGCATTACCAGGCTACTTCTCAGCCCCTCCGTCCTTCCACAATTTTTCATGACCCTGTGCAAGCAGGGTCATGTGCAAGCACAGGGTTTGGTGAGATCGCGAGGCATGTTCTGCTTCGAGCCTCCAACCACATCTGAACTCACTTTAAACTGGATGCATTAGCAAAGGGAGAGAAAACCCGATGCTATTTTTAAGCTCTTTAAGGAGCTCCGCTGTAAGTCAGTTCCTCATTGCATCAGATACAGGCAAAAGGTCTTCAGTCTTTAGGCACCGAACTGCACCCAGCTGGGCTTGGCTGGATGACGATTACAAATCTGTTTATCATATAATCATAGAACAGTTTGGGTTAGAAGGGGCCTTAAAGATCATCTGGTTCCAGCTCCCCATGCCATGGGCAGAGACACCTTCCACTACACCAGGTTGCTCAAAGCCTCATCCAACCTGGCCTTGAACACTTCCAGGGATGGGGCAGGCACAACTTCTCTGGGCAACAGTGCTCCACCGCCCTTGGAGGGAAGAATTTCTTCCTTAGATCTAATCAAACTCTCCCCTCTTTCAGTTTAAAGCCATTGCCCCTTGTCCTATCACTACATGCCCTTGTAAAAAGTCCCTCTCCAGTTTTCTTTAGGTACTGGAAGACTGCTGTTAAGATCTCCCCAAAGCCATCTCTTCTCCAGGCTGAACAACTCCAACTCTCTCAGCCTGTCTTCATAGCAGAGGTGCTCCAGCCCTTGGATCATCTTCATGGCCCTCCTCTGGACCTGCTCCAACAGTGGGTCTCCATCTATTTCCAGTCCCACCTATTCTCTCTGCATCAAGCCTGCTCCACCCCCAAGACAAGCTCCATCTACTAGGACAGAGCAGGATCTCCGCTTTCTCCAGAAGACCTCTGGTTTATGGATTTAATGCCAGTTACAGGGTAAAGAAGACACCAAGAACAAAAGGTACATCAAAAGAAAGGCTGACACAACCTCATACAACATGCAAAGCAATAGAAAAAAAAACAGAATATTTCCAAACCACTGCAGGTTGAGCGAGGAGGGAGAGAGAGGAACAAACCAACATTACCTTGAACTTCCAAAGGTGTTTTCCTACGGTAAAGGTAAAAAGACCAGAGACCCTAACACTTTTCAACTGCACAGCCAGGCACATAAATCACTTGGCCATGTTATACAAGCCCTTGCCTCTCACTCCGCTACCTATTCCAGGCTATCAGCCAGCAAGAATATGCTTGGAAGAGGGGAAAAAAAAGAAAAAAAAGAGCCTTCCAACAACATGACTCTGCAGAAGGCACATCGCAGCAGAGCCGCAAGCTGCGCCGCGTCATTTTTTGGTGCAGTCTCTGGCTTCCTGGAAACACACAGCACATTTCTGTTTCACCTGCTAAATAATTCACGGCTCGGGATTTCTACAAAACACTTCAATTTTTATTTTTTTATTTTTTTCCCCCCTCCTGAAGCAGCAATTACAAAGCAGGCAGAAGCAGGCAAGCCCACAGGAGCTGACAAGGATCCTGCAGCGGCCAGACTAATTACGGCACATCAAATTAAAACAAAAAGCGGGGCTGCCCTAGCAGGCAGCGAAGGCTTACAGGATGCATTTTATTTTTCCCCCCTCCCGTAAGACATGATTTAACGAAGTGCTTAGCTGGCTCGAAGGAAATCTGCCGCCCGTAATCTTCATGACGCCAGGGATGAGCTGTGTGATGCCATCTCGGATCCTGATTTCTTCCCTCTGCACCACGCCAGACTCTGGGAAACCTACTGACAACCCTGCTACAACCATGTGCTGCAAGTCCCATCCTGCTCTCCCTTTTCATCCCATCTCCAGTATCTTTCCATCACTCCTCCAGGTAACCAAAGTCAATGGCACCTGCACCACTGTAACAGCACCAGGTTTGTTTTTTGTTTGGTTTTGTTTTTTTTTTTTTTAAACCTTATCTCAAGCAAAGTCACACCAGCACTTCTGAACATCTCCAGATCTTCAGCTGCACACGTGCTTCCAAGCTTAGGGACAACAGCAAGTCCCAGTGGGGGAAGGTTAAGTAGTGCTGAGTATCTGCTATTTATTCAGATTGGTGCTTCTGGTCCTTAAAAACATCCAGCTGCTCAGGTTTCATGGCTGGCACCACTCAGATCTCTGAAAGAGAAGGCCAGGAGCAAGAGGACATCTTCAACAAAAAGTGATGTCTCCTGGTTGGGTGCTTCATCCTGACAGCTGTCCAGCAGCACACAAAGCCAGACATTTCTGGCTGATAAACCCAGTTTCAGTGGCAAAAGCAACAGAATAATGAAGCACCACGGGATTTCAGTTCATTACTCCAATACCAAAGGGGAAAAAAAAAAAAACAAAACACAAAACAGAAAGAAGGAATTGGTGCAAGACAACACTACAGAGCAGACTTGGTTTCAAGCAGTTTCGGCACTGCTCTCCGTGCCCGATGCAGAACCAGCTCACAACACTGAAGCCAAAAGGCTCAAGCCAGACGGGGCGGCCACAATCCCAAACAGCATCCCCAGCTCAGCATCGGCACCCTGTACCATGCGGGCAAAGGCACCTCCCAGTTGCCTTCACCTAGTCCAACACGTGGAGGTTTGATGGGAACAGGAAAGCAGATCAGACCTGGGAACGCTCTCAATCTCACCTCTCCACATCAGGGAAACGGCTCAGACAAGAGGATCCTCACACTTGGCTCCAAACAAACCCTCGAGCCAGCAGCACCCTGCAGGTGAAGTGGGCATAACCGACCTTAGCAACTCCCAGTCTGATGACTCCATCTCAATGGTCACATCTAAGCTGTGCCTCCATCAACCTCTTAAATAACCGCACGCTGCACGAGAGACCCAATGGGCAACTGGCACAGTAAGCAGCTTTTAGGAGGCCACAAGCTTCCCAGGCATGTGCAGGGGGAATACAGCAGGGAATATAACGGCTCGTTCAGGACCCAAACCTGCTCAGTGGCCTGGTGAGTCAACCAGGGCAGAAAGTTGGTGGATCAACAGGCATTTGTGTCCTAAAAGAGCGTGACACCTCGAAACACTCAACGCCTCGGGCTGTGTTAAGTGATCCCCCCACACCACCCTCTCCCACCGTTGGCAGCCCTCAGCGGAGGCAGAGATAAACCTTTAAAAAAAAAAAGCTAACTAGATGCTGGGCACTTCACTCCAGCAGAGAAGAGGAGCAGGGAGCTGTAAGTGAGCAGGGATCAACAGCATTCAAACAATACTCTGGGAACTGTTTCCCAGCAAAACCAGCAGAATTCGGCAGAAACGGCAGCTGGCTCCACAACGATGCCTTGGCACAGGTCAGGGACAGGCTGCACAGCCCCGCTGCCCTTCCCCGAAGACCAGCTGCACCCTGCGCCAACCAGCACCGGGAAGTCGCTTGCGACACACTTAACGAGAAAAAAAAAAATCAAAATAAAAAAAATAAAACAAACTTAGAAAGGCAAATAAGCTGGTCTGGAAGTTTTATGGTAACTTTGCAGCCGGGAGGAGCCCATCTCCTGCCCTGCTCACTGCAAAAAGCATCAAGTTACTCTCTGAAAAAAAGTCGCCTGTGAGGAGAGTATCGAAGAGCAAAGAGAGTTTTGGCTTCTTGCAAAGCATCCAGCTATTTCATCTGGTTTGGGCGTTGTGAAACTGAGAGTCTGGGGCTTACCCTGCTCAGCTGTCCCTTCGCTACGGCTCGAGAGCGAAACGCAGGCAGCCGAGAGCGCCAGAACAGCAGCGCTGGCACATCTGGTCCCCACGAAGGAAAACCCAGCAGCTATTCCCAACAGCTGACGCTGACCAGAGCTCACAAGCATCCCATGGCTTTGCTGGAGCAGCTGAAATCCCCCAGGCTCCCCAAAGCCTCAAGTCAAAGCCAGGCAGCGTTTTGGTGGTTCGAGGTGACAGCATTGGGGGAGATGGGAGAAACTACTTCGCTGCAGCCACCCAAAGCCCAAGCCAAGCAAGGGAAACCATGACCACCACCAGCCTTGTACAACCACTGTCACTCAAAACCCAAGCAGCCAGAGCAGATTTGGGTTTGCTGCACCAGTAAGAGGCCCACCAACTATTGACCTGAACTTTACTTCCATGAGGCTGGAAAGACATTAACTCCTTGCAAGGCCAAAGGGAGCTGCCCAAAATTTCAAAGATGAAGACGCTGGATGAAGAAACGCCGGCCAGGGGCCAAGGGAGCGTCCTGTCAGCTCACGAGCAGACAGGAGTTTTGTCTTAACATCTCGTTTCCTTGTACAATGAGCAGATGCGGAGGTTTGAGTACACACACACGTAAGCAATACACGCGTGTGTTCACTCAGTGTCTC